CGATATCCCCTTTGCTGCTTGCTCCAAAAGCGAAGTACAGCCGATCTACGATCTGCGCAGGGCCCTGGGCTCGGTACGAGGTGGCTTCTCGAAAATGCAAAAAAAACAGTCCCCTTGACTATCGCAAAATTTTACGAAGTCTCCTTTAACCCTAACCCTAAACGTATAAACCATCAAAAAACGAAACATCGACTGAAAAAATTTAATCTAAGTTGTGTTTCTCGCCGCAAAAATGATATCCCCTTTGCTTTTTGTCCCGCGATACCCAGCTTGCTCATAAGCCACCTGCGCCGAGCCCTGGGTTTTTTTTAGCTATCACGTGAAGAAAGTCTCTCTTATGAAGTACGATAAAAATCACAGACTCGCACTGTTTCTAGATATACTCTAGATAGGTTTTTAGTCCCGAATCTGCTCAAGGAGAAGATGCATTGGGTGCTACGCAAAGCTTGGCGAAGAGGAAGGATCACATTGTATGTAGAAATACTAGAAAACTTAATACTACCTGCTGTCAGTCTGAGTTAATTTTGCATAGATTGTCTTAACAACTTTCGCGCTCCGGGAAAGCTTGGCTCATATCATTTTTTGTGCTCGTACACCGTATGCAACCGTACAAGTTTTATATAAGACTTAATTGGTATAATGATTTTGCTGTCACTAGACAGATTCTATGTATTGCTCACAATGAGGCACTTCAAAAAGCAGATAAAAACTCATAAAAAAGCTTGAAGGACTTGCAATTTCTGGTACTCTGCTAGCTTGGATAATTTCCTATCTGCAAAACAGACACATGACTGTCAGAATAGGCCATAGTTACTCTGAAAAGTACGCATGCAAAAGCGAGTCCCACAGGGTGGTGTGCTCTCGCCTTTGCTATTCCTCTTGTACACTTTAGACCTACCTAAGATACTGAGGACCTCATCTTCAGTCAAAGTACAGATATATGCTGACGATATAAAAATTTACGGTTTCTACGATTCTAATGATGTCTTGGAGGTTCAGTCAGCCCTCAGAAATTCTATCAGAAAAATGCTTGAATGGTCGGTAAGTTGGGATATTCCTCTCAACCTGGACAAATGTTGCGTTATGCACATTGGGATTACCACAGCATCAAAATATGAAATTGACGGAATAACTTTAAGGGAGTGCACTTCAATCAAAAATTTGGGAATACTTATTGATTCCACCCTCAAATTTTCACTACACATAGACTGTATAGTCAGAAAGGCGTATACTATACTGTATGCTATTTTTCGGAATATACACTCACAAAATCCTTCAGTTTTGAAGCTCTTGTACAGAACATATGTGTTACCTCATCTTGAATATTGCTCACAAGTATGGAGGCACGCACTTATAAGAGAGGCAGAAAATTATAAACGCACTTATAAGAGAGGCAGAAAATTTCAAGATGTATTTGAATTTTTTATGAGCGAATCGGTGGATCTCCATGGACAAAAGACAAGGTTAAGTTTAGGTTCAAGGATAAAGTAACATTCCTTTGATAGGAGTCTTGCATGACATCAAACCAGGCCAAATTATGGAATGGCAGCAAATAAAAGAAAAAGAATGGTTGTTTATGCGCTGCTTATAGGAAGGCACCTAACTCAGCTCGGCATTTGGCAAGAGACATACCTTTGAATTACCTGGAAACGCTAACCAATTTGCTATTCCTAGCTGCGGCGCACCAGTTCGAAGTGAGTTATGAGCTTTTTACTGTACGAAATTGGCATATTCGCAACACGGAAAGACTCCCGTAAGCAAAAAATCTGCCAAAAAGGGTGCTAGGACATCAAAAAATATCAAATCGAATCTTTTCCAAATAGAAAGGGACTGGACACAAGTGTATTAGGATTCAGGATAATGCCAGAATGTCAGTAGTTTGATGAATATGTAAATTTTGCAGAGAAAAGGCTCATAACTCGCTCCAGATCAATGAGCCGCAGCTAGGAATAGCATATTTGGAATCAGCGCTTGAAGTGATTCAAAAAATAGTGTCTCTTTGCAAAAGGCCGAGCTAAGCTAATGCCTTTCCTTGTTAGATTTAAGGCCGCTAATTTTAGTTATTCATAAATAAATTTGTCTCAAAATGGTCTTTATATAAGTAGCTTGAATTGCCAATACAATTAGGATTACTGCGATGCAATAAAACATGCCAAGTCTGCCCCAATCCTAACCAGTCCAAAATTGGCATGGTATGAGCCTTTTCTCTGCAAAATTTACATATTCATTAAATTACTGACATTTCGCACCGCGAAGGTATTGCGTCACATCTATGGCTAACTATTCTGCTCTCTCCGCAATCTCTTTGCTCTCAGCGAACAGCGCTTCGATAGCGCTGCGAACGCGCAAATTCAGCTTACGGTTTGGCCTGATCCGACTGGGGCAGATTGTATAACAAACGTCACAATGAACCTTTTTATCTGTATTTACAAAAAAGTATAAAAATAGAATCTCTACATAAAAAATGACTATCTGTCATTTACAAAATTATATCTTTTTGAATCGTTAGCAGCTGGAATATAGAGTTGAGGACCGAATACGACTTGAGAGCAGCACACTATAAGCTGAGCTGTTTCATTGAAATCATCTTGGCACTTCTTTTACTTCCGCGTTGTAGCTTATCAGGCCGACGCATTATAGATGTGCGGAAGCTCATAAATCAGAAGTTCGCGTAGCTGGACCTTTTGCAAGTGCTAAGCTAATAACTGGTACTTGAATCAGTCGTGGGTAATACCATATTGTGGTGATGGTCGAAACTCGATGCTAGCATTTTGATGGCAAAATCACAGAGTAACTGAAAGTCGCTCGTAAAATACCAAATGTTCTATATCCACAAATTAGTTGACGAACTGAAAGCAGGAGCACGAGGTAGCCCTGGCAGTTTCTCAAAAACGAAGACACTCCTGACTTCGCAACAAAAATACGACATTCTTTATAACATGCTTATGAAAGAACTAAACATGAATAATGAAGAATAACAGAAAAGTGCACAAAAACAACATTAAACAATAGATGAAAAGCCTAGTAAGGGTCGTACTCTTTGTGTCGGCGGCGTGCTGTGGCACCACCTTTGGAGTAGGATTAGCACCACCGTTCAAAATTTTCGGAGAGCTGTAATTGCTGGGGGGGGGGGGGTGAATATTTGGAGGTTCAAAAACTATGTAGAATTTTAGATGTAGGTCAAAGTGTAAAAACCATGGAAAAATTACGTGAAGAGAAGGAAATTTATGAGTTTGTTCTTAGCCACCCTAGGTGGCTCTTCAGGTGGCTCGAAAGCAACTTTGAAAAAAGTTTGCCGCACCTTCAGTTCACATATTCTTTTTATAATAAAAAAGTCCCAGCTCCCTGTTGCGTACCTGCACACCAATTTCGGTGTCATATCATTTGTTCTTCGCTGTAACAAGCCCTCTGTTCATTTCGGAGCACACTTTTGAGTTCGGCTCGCAAGGAGAGCGAGAAATTGCTGGTTTTGCATGATGAGCACCTGCGACGTCTCCTGTGAGATGAGGAGGTGGAATAAAAGAGCGGAGGGAGTGATGTGTGGGGGAGTGATTGTGGGGAGGGGGGATGAAACATGAAAATTCCAAGTATGTATGTTGACTCATGTGACGGTATCGGTAATTTGTAACAGAGAAGTTTTGTTCGATAGGCGCTGGAATGCAATAACTATGCTTTTTTACAAGCTGTGTTCCGGATTCCGGGAAAACGATATCCCATATTCCCTTTTTTCACCTCCAAGAGTATCCGGCCCTTCGTAAGCCACCTGTGCCGAGCCCTGATTTGGAATCGAATTTAATTATTAGATTATAACTATTATTAAGGAACTAGGTATCATTCGAAAGATCTTTTACTACTTGCATTTCACATATGGTTTTCATCCAAAAAATACATTCTAAAATGACCGATCTGGAGGAGCTATCGTTACAAATTTGTTGAGAAGGAAAGGAACAAAAGGGCATGCTTTTAATATGAATTCCTCAAAATAGCTCAGCTCCAAAGCTTATGCATCTTATGAAATCTGAGGCAATTCAAGCTCTACGTCCTTCTATCTGCTTATTTATAGAAGACAAAGAGTTGTCTTTGAACCAACCAAAAGAATAAATCTCTTAAAATTTTCTGCATCCTTCTCACTATGCACAAGATTCTTGTTCAAAGTACAAAAGCACTAAACAACGGAACCAAATAACCATACATTTCCTGAAACCAGCGGGAGAAAAGACGAAATGATTTTGTTATCGCTGTCGTTGCTGTTCCTCTATAGAAGTTACAATTTTTCCAATTTGATTGTTTTATTATGGACAGATGTCGCATATGCAATTAGCTCACAATCTACAATCAAGCTCTCTCAAAAAAGTGTGCAGCTCATTAGATTTGAAATGCTGAACTGCATTATTGTAAAGTGCTCTACTATTGCAAATCAGGGCCCGGCGCAGATCGTATGGAAGCAGGCTGGACTTCGTTGGGCGAAAAAGCAAAGGGGATATCGTTTTTGTGAAAATTGCAACGTTTCTTTTGTCGACGTTTCGTTTTTTTAGGGTTTTTTACATTTAGGGCTGAGGAGCTTCGTTTTCAAGAAGTCTAGAAACGAACTCACGCCGGCCCTGGTTGCAATCCCTTCTTGTGTAACGACAAAGATCTCTTTTTTGGAGGAAGTTTCACAATTGCTTAACTCTTTGTTAGCCTACGTCTTAGACATAATCCTCTCTTCAAGATGCTGGAACAAATGTGAGTTGAGCGTAAAAGTTGCGATAGCATTATCTGAATCAGCGTTGCTTATCATCTTATCACACCTTTGCGCATTAAACATGGGAGGTGCTGCTATGGACAGCAAGATAACATATTACAAGACTTTAGCCTTTATCGCAGAACAAAAGTTCAACCACTTTTACTTCCTTTTTTGAAAAGGATCTCGTTATTCAGACGTACGATCGAGTTTTGAACACGTCGTTTTACTGCCGATTGTTACGTAGAATTGATTTCTAGGCATTTTGCCAATCACAATGTTGAAGCTACTGGTCCTTGTATATTTATCCACTTTGTCTGAATCACTAATAGATGGAGAAATGGAACTTATGCTTGTCCAGGCGGTGAGTCCAGTCAATGTAATATTGAACCAATGATTAATTAGTTTTTTAAGGTATGGCGACATGGAGATCGATCTCCGACAAAGACGTATCCAACTGATCCATTTCAAGATGGTAATTGGACATTTGGTGGTGGGGGATTTGGTCAGTTGTCGCCGGTAAGTAGCTTAATTGAAAGAATTTTTTTGAGCAAAGTTCAAAAAAAACCTTCTCATTACCTACAGATTGGAATGAGGCAACATCTAATTTTGGGAAAACTGTTGCGCAAAACTTATGTTGATAGTGGTTTCCTTTCCAAGAGATATTCTTCAAAAGAGGTGAGCAATCTCCTGACTCAATCTATCAAAGAATAACAACCCTATATTATTTTATAATTTTTGTAATCCCTCTACTCTTCAAAAAATGCTGTTTTTGCTAAACCAGGCAGCGACTGATATGTACGAAACAAGTGCAGAACAATTTTTACGTGCCCTATCCTTACTGCAAAGTCACTTTTGGCCCTATAGGCTCTAAAAATCATAAATTCTACAATATGCATGATTGTTAAAACTGTGGAATTTACTAACGTTACCCCCGCGATCTCAAATTTAGTCTGCAATTAGACTCAAAAATAATTGGTTGAAAACCGATTCGATCTGTGCGCCTGCAACTTTTTTCTTTCGATTTATCCACTCAATCATCATAGTGTGTTTCTCCAAATATATATTACATACAATTGTAGAACCTCATAAAAACGTATCCGGTAACTTTGTAAACCAAGAGAAACTACCTTTCCAAGGATCTAAACGACAAAAATCTTCTTCTGGTTTTTAGAGAAACTTTTCGTTGTCCCTCAACATATTCGTGACAAGGCAGATTTTCCGATGACTGCCATTTTGGAGCAAAGTTATTTCGTAATATTGAGGTTGCGTAATATCGTGTGTTCGCTGATGGGTCATATGGTCTAAGTTTCTAATCTTTTGGGAAGTCATCCAAGAAGTATATATAGAAGTTTGCTCAATTTGCCCAAAAAGTTGCATCGCATCTAGCAAGATCAAAGACTGCAGAAAGCGTATGACCCACAGCTGAGTCGTATTGTCCAAAATGGCAGGACGCGTACGACCCACCGGTGGTCGTATTGTTGTGAATCTGTTGAATCATCGAGAATTAGGTGTTTTGTAAATCTTTGGTTTAGGGTTCAAGAATCAGTAAATTCTACAAGCTACTTGGATTTTAATCCTCAGAACACGTACTACCCATCCCTATCCAAGAAATGGTCCCCTTTTCGTATCTAAGTTATTGTCCCTCAATGCTTCCTAGCGCATGAGTAGAATTCGTTTTCCAGAGTATATGAAACGTTTAAGCCTTCGATTTAGAACACCAGCCTTCAATTGTCTTCCTGATAACTAAACGTTGATGTTTATCTTACTAACCTTTAGATCTATATTCGCTCAACCGATGTGAACCGAACGATAATCTCTGCCATGTCGAATCTTCTTGGTATGTATGGTCAAGATACCGGCGACAGCGTTGCTGGTGAAGATTACCCTGACCCTGATGTACAGGGATGGCCGCGAGGATATGTCCCCATTGCTATTCATACAGTTGACGATGACACCGACTATGTAGGTGCCTTCCACTTGTGATCCGACAAACAATCTTTATTTCCAGATCGGTAACCCTGATGCGGTTTGTCCCCGACAGGATCAACTGTGGGAAATGGCCAAGAGTTCTCCCGAGTTGCAAGCTTTTCAGAATCGCCCTGATGTAGGGCTTTGGCGTGCAAATTATGCCTTGTAAAAAAGTCGCATTTGCACAAATTCTAGGTTGCACAACTGCTCGGAAAGTTGTCTGTCTACTGCGGAGAAAATGTTACAATTGATAATTTGTGGATCATTCAGGATGCATTATTTATTGAGGTAAAAACAGATTTTGCCCCGCAAAAATGGTGAAAAATTCATTTTCAGCAAATGCATGTGAATGAAACTTTAAGGAAAGTGAACTTATGGTTTAGCGATGAATTATACAATCAAATCACTTTGGTCAACGACGATGTCGAACTTTATCAAAATGGACTCTTTGGTAACAACTTTAAACTTTCCGCAAAGACATATCCTTTGATTCAACTGGATCGGCAGCTAAAAGGCGGAGCTTCGTGACCTAGATAAGGCTAGAGAATGATCAGAGAGCACGAGCGCGAGAAAGACGCCGACTGCGTCGCGGGCTTTAGCGGCTCTAATTAGGTCACAAAGCCTCACCCTTCCGGCCGCCAGTGCAGTTGAATTAAAATTAACATAATCTCAGTTTACCTCAATTTTGACTATTCTGCATAACAAAAAAATTCTAAGAGTTAATTTCTTTTTGTTACCACGAAAGATCTCTAAGTTTGCTTTACTTCAGGCAAGCCTGTAATTATGAACAGTCTCGATGTTGGCCTGGAACTCCAAAAAATTCGTGGCGGATCCCTGATCAACGACATCAACATGCACATGAATATAAAAGTAGATTGCATGCGAGCACCAGCGAATGACCCAAAGTGCAAATGGATCAATGGCCTCAAATACTACGCTTATTCAGCTGTGGGTCGATTTTTGCAAAAGAAAACAATATAGTTGATGTACGTTTTCTGGGGTAGGAACCAACAACAAAACTGGAATCATAGTAGATTTCCTTTTTAATCCCGGTTTTAACAATAGATTGGCGTGAATTGATTAATTTAGCGTAAACTCCATCTTTCACTGAGAAAGCATCTTTCATCCTTCACTATTGAAAGAAGCAAGTGGCTGTACAAGCCGCATTTTTCAGCTTTTTGAATGATCCCCTGATGATCCCTGGCGGCCAACCGTCTTCTCTTCAAGATCACATTTCTTTCTTCGAAGCCAATAAAAGCCTCCCAAACTTGTACTGAACATCTAACACAACAGTGCTAAACATGTTGCTGATGAAAACAGATGAGTTTTTGAAAAATCGAATTTTTTCATGAACCCCAATGTCGCGGCTCGCGATCGACCGCTCCTCACAGCATGTGGCCGGGAGCACCGTGTTGCCGCGCGTCTCGGTCGTGGGCACGGTCGCCGCGCTTTACGGCGGCTACCTTGTTCGCTCCGAGACCACACCATGTAGGCACGCCCCCAGCCACCGCTATAAATAGCGCGTACGCGCGCCAGTGCGGCCTCTCTCGTCTTGTCATCTTACTATTATCGTCGTGCCGCCTTTGTTATTGATTGGTTGGGTTTCCACGATATCGCCGTCGTGTCTACGTCCCCGTGCCTCGCGCAATTGGATGAATCGTTGATGGATTGTTTGGATGTACGCGCGAGGATAGAATTCCAGGATGATGAACACCACGAAGCGCCTTGGTCGCGCAGGATTTGTTGGGAGCTTGGTTCGATGCTGTTGGTTAACATCATGGGGTCGGTGTTGCCGTGCCGTAGCTGCTGCCTTGGCGGCGCGCGGCCGGCCTGTGGGTAGCTCCCTTGGATGTCGGGAGAGTGTGAGAGTGTGTTAGTGTGTGAGTGTGAGTAAGTTAGAGTCCCCATCGGTAGCCCGGGGTAGAGCTTAACTCTCCCCGTGGTATGTATAATTACATTTGTTTATATCGTATATTTTTGTCGTGCGTATTTATTTAGTAAATTATATGTATGTTATTTGTCTCGTGTTCGTAGGCGTAACGCGCCGTTGTGGGCTGGGCCCACCCGCAGCTGCGGAAGTCCTTTGGGGACAGGAGCTGGACGCAAGGCAGTCGAGCACTAGGTGAGGGGGCGCAGAGCCCACCGAGCCGCAACATGGTGCATCGATGCCGAGCGCATGGTGGATGGCGTCGCCGCCCGCGGATGGGTTAGTCGCGCAAGTTGGAGCAGATTGTGTGCCATCGGTGTGTCGCGTCGTTGTTGTGTTGTCGAAGGCACGCGCTATCCCATCCATCATGCGTGCGTAACGAGCCCGAAGCTACCACGCTCAGCGCCCCAGTAGGAAGTCCTGGCAAACAGAGAGGCAGAGCTGAATACCTACGTAGCCAGTAACAAGAGTGCTGGAAGGTAGCCAGGGTGCGAAGCATGGCGTGTCAGCGCGGGGGGATAGTCGGGAAGACTGTGGCAACTTGCCAACTAGAACCCCAATCGATCGAGCGCCCACGTCATGCGATACCTGGTAAGCCTGTCGCGCTTGGAAAGTGCTGCCCAGGTGGAGGGCCGGTGTCGTAGTCGGCGGGCTCGATAGGGGGTACCGGAGAGTACCAGCGGCCGCACAAGTCGAGTCTTCGGGATTTGGACGAAGGATTGGGGGAAGCAAGTAGGAAGAGTCGCTGGATAGATGCCTTGATGGAGACGAACGATGGAGGATGGATGTCAGACAGGCGAAGGAGGAAGATGAAGATGGAGGATAGGACGATCGCGAGCGCGCCTGAGTTGTATCGTTGTACGTGCATTTAGTGCTGTATCGTCGAGCACGCTGCGCGCAGAAGACCAGATCGTGGAGGCGCGAAGAAGAGTTGTATCGTTGTACGCGCATTTTAGGACTGTATCGGAGCACGCGAGAGAGCTGTACCGGAGTACGCGCCAGGAGTGTTTCGACGTTGGATTGTTGTTCGAGTGGGAAGCTGGCATGGAGATGGATAGTGCGAAGACGGACGGATGGAAGTCAAGGAGCGCGATTTAGAGCTGTATCGTCGCACGCGTATTTAGTGTTGTATCGTTGAACACGCTTCAGTATCGTATCGTCGTACGTGTACACAGTGTTGTATCGTCGAACGCGTTTCAGTACTGTATCGTTGCACGCGCTAGTTCGAAGGCGAGGGACGAGCGATGGACAGGAGGATCGACTACAGAGAGGGGTATGGAGCTGCGTAGAGTTGTATCGGTGGACGCGCGAAGGTGGAGCTGTATCAAGACGCGCGAAGAATCGCAGCTGGGGATCGACACCGTCCTATATACACATATAGGAGCTTGGACCATAGCCGGGGAGACGGGATTCGGGTTCTTTTTTGTAAGCTGGGGTTTTGTAGTAAGTATTTTGCGTTTTATAGTTTTTTACTGTAGGGGTTTTAGGTAAAAGTTTAGTTTGAGGGGTTAGATGGGAATTTGGATTGGTACTAGGGGTCCTTTGATCCGTATCCTGTTAGTTTTTCTTTCACACCACTTCTTTTCTTCGCTCTACTGTAGTTTAGTTTTCCCTACAACCGGTATTAGTCTTGTCCCCGTAGTTTAACCTCCTGTAGTCCGTAGTTTAGTCTAGTAGTTTAGTCCGTAGTACAAGATTGGCCCAATTGTGACCCGTAGTGACCTATGTCCCCGGCGTAGTGCTACATGGGGCACCGTAAGGTGAGTCTCGTTGGTGCAATAAGCGCACTTGGGCCCTCGAGGCCGCGCCCTTTTAGTTCGCCCACCACCCCTAGTACAAAGCGGAGAGCAGCCGTGCTAGAAGGATAAGAATTGCCGAGCAAGATGCCGGAAGGTACCATCAGCAGGACGACGATGAAGGATGGCAATTGGAACGAAGCACGGTTTTTAGCAGGATATGGTCCAAGTGCCCACGGGTCATCAGTGATGGCCTCTCCGTTCGCCGACAGGAGCCCTGAGCAGTTTCCAGACCGGCCTCCGACAGGATGACCTCTCCCGTACCTTGTTACACGCGCGCCACTTAGTGCCGCGCAGGCTCTTCAGTGACACTCTGTCGTTATTCACGCTCTGTTTGCCTTACGTCCTTTGGTTACCCCCACGGTTACGTACTACACTTCCTTTTTTTGTTTTTGTTTTGTCTTTCCTTCTGTGGTGGAGTAGGTTGGGTAAGTTGGAAGGGTCTAGTGGGGTTATTCGTTGTTATGTGTAGTAGGGAGTGTGTTTTGTGGTTTTTCTATCTGTTTCTTTCTTTCTTTATGTATTCTCTTTAGGTTACCGATGGGTGTGAGTGTTGCCCCCTAGCGCGCCGCGCTTCGTTCAGGCATGGTCCATCTTCGATGTCGTTGGTCACACGACGGACAGTATGACAGAGAGAGCCATTGGAAACAGGCAGAACTTCTTACCGTTTTCCATCTAGGTACCGAGCCTCTGTTTTCCTTCTTTTCTGTTCTGATTTGTCTGGTGCCAGGCCGTTGTCGAGCTTTACGCTCTGTTTTCATTATTAGGCCAGATGTTGTGTTTTTGCGGCGGAATGCCTTTCTTTTTGTAATTTTTGTCCCTTATTTCCCCTCTTCAGTTGGGTCCTGAAACGATTGTTGTCGAGCGCGCACTTTAGGCGGCGTGTACCCCACCTTCTTGTGCATATTGATCGACCATCAGATCCTTTGCGCTTCTTCCCTTATTTCCTATGTCTTGTTTGTTGTTGTCGACGCAATAAGCAACCATAGCCCCCTTTTTACGTTTTTGTAATTCTGGTGAACGCGTGATCCAACTGCCCATTTCGCGCAAACTTCGTCTCCTTTGGCCTTAGAGCGTCGGTTAGGTCAGTAGATTCTGTACTACTCGCTAAGTATTCTATCTTTGGTGTATAGCGAACTTGTTCCATCGTTACAGTTGCTATTGCCTACCGCATTGCAGCCTGTGTCCCCAGCCAAGTCAGTATTTTTGTTTTTCTTGCAACTTCGCGAGCCGTGAGCTTATCACCATCCTTATGCTCATTGCAGTAACTTTCTGCATGCGCGTTTTCCCTTGTGCCATCCTGTATCCCTGCAGTTGTTCCTGTAAGTGCTCCGCGTAGTTGTAATTTTTTTGTTTCATTCTTGGCTACCTGCAAGACTGTCATTTACTCGGCTTTGACTCAAACTCGGTTTTTCCTTACGCGCGTTCAGTACATTGTATGTGCGTCAGTAAGATTCGCGCATTTTTGGATATTTCTTGTACTGCGCGTCAATTCTGGTATTTCTTATGTTACATCCTGTGAGCGCGCCTTTGGTAGTATGTCACCCTCTGTTGGCGCAGTGTAGATTTTTCTCATTGCCTATTCCGTCTACAGGCTTTCTTTCGCGCGTGAGTACCTTTAGAGTATCGCGCCTTTGTTCCCGTTGTGCGCTCCATCTGCACTTTGATCTCATGCCAAGTTTACTTGATTAGATCTTTGGCTAGTGAAGTACTCCTTTACCACCTATGTTGGCATCGTCGTATTTTTGAGTTCCATCGTCGTTCGACGAGATATCGCGCTTAGCGCGCCAACCGTGCTTCACAGATACTTTTTGCCCGTAGTAGCTTGGCTCAATCGTTGCGCTTAGGGCTAGTATTCACAGTTGTTACCATCTTGTTCGTATGTTTAACTTGCCTGGCCAGCTAGTGTAACTGCGACCAACTGTGGTGCGTCGTGAGTATGCCCCTTGAGTGCATTTTCTTTCTGGATTTAGACTCACCTGACGCGCGATCCGCAGACACGTTCTTACTACCTTGTCTGTAGACGCTTATGTCAGGCACCTGTAGCCAGTAACATCGGCGGTGTTATGCGCGCGGCTTTCGCCGTTGCTCCTTGATTTACCCCTTTACCTGGATTGGCTTATACTCGGACTTACTTCTTGCCTGCATTACTGTTTTGTTGTGTCATTGCTCCATCTCCTATTTGACACTCTCGGTGTGCAGCGCAACTTGAATTTGACGAAGGTTGGAATGGTCCTGCGGGTAGCACCTACTCCCGCACTCGCTGTAGTGTCCTCCTCAGCAGCTTGGCTCATATTCCAACATTTGAACATGGTTATACTCAGTTTGCGCGTCTATATACTTAGCGTAACGCGCTAAGTAGGTGGGTCAAGTACGCAACATCATTTAGTCGTTGCGCTGAGTATTAATCATGCCCATGCCAGCGGATTCATCGTCGGAACGTCCAGAGGGAAGTCTTGCTGCGCAGCTTGGACGCGCCGTTAATCAGCTTAGAATACCTCGTGACGATGATCTATCTTAAGGATGATGGAACCAACGGCGAGCCGGGAATAGGAAATTCGACGTGCGAGTCCGAAGACGACATCTCGCGGGAGTTGATGGAAGTTCGTGGACGAGTACCCATGGCAAATCCACAAGACGCGCAGGCGGACGCGCAACCGAGTGATACTGCGGACTCGAACGGTACTAGTAGGCATCACTAATCTCAAATTTTGTTTTGAATTTTCCTTTTTTACAGTTTATATTCCTAAATTTACTAACGTTTTGCATCTGCGCGTCAGTCAATTTTCGCACTGTAACATCCTTGTGACTGTCGCGCCTCTAAAATTTTATTTTTATATTTTGCCTACTTACCGCGTAACATCTGTCGAGCTAGTTAACCCAGCACTAACACCATCCGGCGCACTTGTGGAGCGCGTTAACATCTATCGCGCCATGTAAAGTCCCGCGTAACATCTTAGTTCGTCGGCTCCCTACCAATTATACTTCCTATTATAGTAGCGCGTTAACATCATTTAAATTTTCCGCTAATTATTCTAATTTGTTTATTGTTGCTACTCGGTCGAGCAGCCTAGCGGTATAGTCTACTTTAGGAAGTTGCAGCCGTCACAGGACGCGCCGTCTTGTTGCCTTAAGTCCCGACCATAGAGCCTTGCGAGCAGTCCATCAGGCTCCTGTAACATCTGCTCTATAGGTTGGGCCGTCTTTCCTTGAACAGACCCACAGTGCTGCACCCCCCGGGTCCTTGAGTTGCGGGGTCGATCCCCTCGTCGAGGCATCAGGACCGAATTGGACGAAGGTCCAGCCTCCTCGGCGGGAGGCTGGACCTTCGTCCAATTCGGTCCTGGTGGGTGCTAGATGCGCAAATTTGGGGATGTTTCTGGAAAGACGTAGCACTTTTTTCGTCTGGAAGCTAACACCCTCTCAGTTCATTGCTTTATCTTGTGCTTTTTTATCGTAAATTAGTCTAAATTAAGAGAGGGTGGAGGTTTCCTTTTGTTTCAGGGTGTGCGTTCCAGGACGCGCGTCATATAGGTTCGCAGGACGGTAGGTTTTGTTTCGGGCGTTACGCTCCCTCGATGTTGAACGTATGAGTGCATTTAGAGTGGTTAGATGTTGGTGATGCGAGGGACGTAATGCGGTTTGGATGCGCAGTAAGATCAGCGCTGGTCGAGATGGATGGTGAGATGGCGAGATGGAGCGATGATGATGCTATGGGCTGAAACGTCTATCCTGAAACGTTGTACATAGTTTAGTAGCTGTAGAAGTATCTTTAATCATTGTTCATATTTATTTGGTAAGCGCCTTGAGCGCTCCGGTTTATTCTAGTAGTCACGTGCGCGTCAAAGCGCCTGTAGTTTTGTGTTTATTTTCGTGGTTTACCACGGGGCGGGTTGTTGCCTGTTCCCTCGCTACCGATGTCGCATGTTTCTTTTTTTCTATCATCGCCCAAATTTTTAGGTTAAGGCAGTTGCCCCAGGTCACGGTGCTATCACGTAACCACCTATTCGCAACGCCCAATGCCTTTCGTTGTGGGGGGGAGTGTCGCGGCTCGCGATCGACCGCTCCTCACAGCATGTGGCCGGGAGCACCGTGTTGCCGCGCGTCTCGGTCGTGGGCACGGTCGCCGCGCTTTACGGCGGCTACCTTGTTCGCTCCGAGACCACACCATGTAGGCACGCCCCCAGCCACCGCTATAAATAGCGCGTACGCGCGCCAGTGCGGCCTCTCTCGTCTTGTCATCTTACTATTATCGTCGTGCCGCCTTTGTTATTGATTGGTTGGGTTTCCACGATATCGCCGTCGTGTCTACGTCCCCGTGCCTCGCGCAATTGGATGGATCGTTGATGGATTGTTTGGATGTACGCGCGAGGATAGAATTCCAGGATGATGAACACCACGAAGCGCCTTGGTCGCGCAGGATTTGTTGGGAGCTTGGTTCGATGCTGTTGGTTAACATCATGGGGTCGGTGTTGCCGTGCCGTAGCTGCTGCCTTGGCGGCGCGCGGCCGGCCTGTGGGTAGCTCCCTTGGATGTCGGGAGAGTGTGAGAGTGTGTTAGTGTGTGAGTGTGAGTAAGTTAGAGTCCCCATCGGTAGCCCGGGGTAGAGCTTAACTCTCCCCGTGGTATGTATAATTACATTTGTTTATATCGTATATTTTTGTCGTGCGTATTTATTTAGTAAATTATATGTATGTTATTTGTCTCGTGTTCGTGTAGGCGTAACGCGCCGTTGTGGGCTGGGCCCACCCGCAGCTGCGGAAGTCCTTTGGGGACAGGAGCTGGACGCAAGGCAGTCGAGCACTAGGTGAGGGGGCGCAGAGCCCACCGAGCCGCAACACCCAACATTCGAGTTGTGGTTCATCGCAAATTTTATGACTCCAATATATCATTTGTTCTATCAGCAACATGCAAGGCAATGTTGGGTTAGATAATCTGTACAACATTGGAAGCTTTTCGTTGATAGTTGACTTGTCCTCTTTTGTTGAAACCTCGGCATCGTGAAGTATCTCACGATGCCGAGGTTTCAACAAAAGAGGACAAGCCAACTATCAACGAAAAGCTTCCAATGTTGTACAGATTATCTAACCCAACATTGCCTTGCATGTTGCTGATAGAACAAATGATATATTGGAGTCATAAAATTTGCGATGAACCACAACTCGAATGTTGGGGTTCATGAAAAAATTCGATTTTTCAAAAACTCATCTGTTTTTATCAGCAACATGTTTAGCACCACTTTAGGCCTCTGAAGACGACGATAAGTCGAAACGTAAGGCCGCAATAAAGAGCTTCACCAAACCTCGTATGGCATAAGATAACATTATCACATGCTTTTCGTTGAGTTCGAAGAAAGAAAAATAACTGTGAAGAGAAAACCGGTTGGCCGCTGAGGGTTAACAAAGGATCATACAAAAAGCTGGAAAATGCTAGCGTGAAATCCAGAATTAGAGCTTCAGAATATGAAGCTTTTCTTGTAAGCTGCGATCCCCTCCCCAGCGGGGATGTACGCGCATACGGGCCTAGTCTTTTCATATCTGAATTTACACCAGCGTAAGTCTGTTCTTCTTAAAATTTCAGTGGGATGCGGGGCAATATTCGAAAGATCAAAGCAAGCCTACAATGTGGCTTTCAGAAGTTCGTACCGGGTTAGGTTCAAGCCTGGTACGAACTTTTGAAAGCCGTATTGTAGAGCTTTAAAAGCCATATTATGGAGCATCGAGTTTCAAGACAAAGTGCAAGAATTCGAAATCGGAAAAAGCGAAAAAAATCGTATCTCAGTTCAAAAACATTTTGCAAAGTTCCCATTTGTTCACGCATATAATATGCACTTGCTGCATTTTTCTGATGACCTAGAATTCGAGAAAAAATAATGCGCTAAATTTTCAAACTTTGGGTTGTGCTCCACGCAAATATGTGTTTATAGCTTATTCGCTAGAGAATACTCACAAATTTGCACCCTTGTGGATGCCTCAGTTTTTTAAAAATATCAGTTTGAGGGTACATATGAAAAGACTGGACAATCTAATATTAGGTTAGTGCACTACCTGACATTAGCTTAGTGCAAAAGTATTGAGCGTTTTTCCATGCCTTGTTTCAGGACAACTTTTTGCAGCAAACTTCCTTTTTTGACATAAAATTTTGACATATTTGAAAAGCTCTTTTCATGCTCTATCTACTGGCGGTTAAAATGTGCCTCTAGCCTTGTTTATTGAAGTTAACTGAGCTTTAGATTACCGCACTTGAAGCCGGTATACTGCATTTACTTTTCTGGACAGAATTCATGCGCAAATGTTGGCATTCATTTGAAATTTTAATGCATGTGATATAAATTACCTACGTAAGCACACCTAAACAAACTTTCTGACATCATCTAGCTTGAGTTATCGACATAGGTAGTCGTTGCGTTTATTCTGTGGTCCACGGGTTTCTATTAAAGAAAGCAATCGCCAAACTTCGCTCATTTTTGTAAGCGCAAGGGTAGCGCCTCCTTTTGACAGTCTGCAAAAACCTTTAGCTCTTCAGTACGCAGAAAATCAAAAACTTCCATAATTTGAGTTTAGAGCCTCTGAAAAAAATCTTGAAAGAAGATGAGATTAGCTTCTTGATTCTACTTTTTTGCAAATCTTTTTCGTTCAAACCCTCTCCATCTTTATTTGTACTATTGGCCTGCGGTTGCAAGAAGGCAACTACCACTTACACTAACAAAGTAAGGAGTTATGCTCCGTTATAAACGAGCTTTTAGAAAAAAACATACTTTGTTTCTCAGTCCATATTTTTCTGTCCGTTCAGAATATTAGCACAGTTATATGCGCGCTGTATTGCGGAAGATTTGCTGCTTTTGAAGTTTTTCATAGCAACGAGAAGTTCAGATTTCTTAAGAAGTTATAGTACGTCAAACTGAGAAGTTGCAAAACGCTCATTATTTCTGCATCAACCTAACAAAATGTTAGGAGAAAAAAAAAATGACAAAAAGCAAATTCATAGTCCCAGTATTTGTTAGCTTTTCATATTCTATATCATTGTCTCAGGTGATTATAAATAGTAAGGCATAAAATATAAAAAAATTTGTTGTGTTTTGGCAGATCGTATTGAAATAAGTTGATTCATCTTTAGCACGACACCACAATCTATGCGTTCTTCTCTATAATGGGCATTGCTCAGAAAGTGATACGACCGAGAGGTTATCCACTCTACTCAGCGGCAACCTTTATAGAGCTGTGGTGGAACAGGACGGATAATCAGCCATATTTCAAGGTGAGACATAGCTCAACAGAAATTGAGCAAAGCCGAATAAGCTCATTGAATTCAAGGATCCGCAGCTACGAACACTACAAAGATTTTATGATTTTTCCATCTTGAGCTGCCTGGCTCAAGAAATGAAATATGTTTAGCTATACTACCATGCAAGCGAAAATAATGTTACAATCTATCCTATAACCGATCAAGTCGACACTTGTGGTGGAAAATTGTACTGTAAATTGGATGTATTCCGCAACATCTCAGCTACAGCGAAACCTGACCAGCCCATGGATAAGGTTCGTAATCACTTGCAAAGTATAAATGACATGGTCAGTTTTTTTTTTCAGTGGTGTCTGGTGGATCCACGTCAGTCTGCGTCATCATGGACTATGTTGATTTCAGGTATCATAATAGTTACAACAAGTGCAAATCGAAGTTATGAAAATGTTAGACACTGCAATGAATTTATCAAGAAAAAGGGGGGGGGGGAGATGCGACGACGTAAATGCGCTCTACACTAATGTCTCAAACCGCGATGCTATGGAAGCTATTTTTGAGCTGTTGCAAGAACACCATTCCTCGCTTGATTTACAAGGCGTTTCTATCAGAGGTATAATGACCCTACTGAATGAGTGCCTTCAATGCTCGATATTTCGGTGGTCCGGACACTATTATAAACAGGTTAGAGGTCTTGCCATGGGACAGCGTTTCGCCCCGACGCTAGCTATCTTATTTATGTCGAAAGTAGAGGCGCCCGTTCTCGAAAGGAAACCTTTGCTGTATTGTCGTTACGTAGACGACTGTTTTATAGTTTGTCCCACGCAGGCCGAACTTGACCTTTGTTACGAAATACTGAATCAGCAATTTCCGCATATAAAACTGACTCGAGACAGGCCCACGAATGACTGGCTAGCATTTCTAAATGTTGAAATTCGATTAATGGACGGTGAATTCAAGACAAGGTGGTATCGCAAGCCAAGTATAAGCTCCTGCAAGACGAAGGCGGTCGGTTCAATGTGCAACGCGGCTGCGACATGGCTGCATCACAGCAGCGTCACAGCCGCGTCACAGCCACGTCGCGCCTCGAACCAACCGCCTTCGTCTTGCAGGAGCTTATAGTAAAAATATATTGGTGCACCACGTTTCAGCTCATCCCATATAAACAATCTGTAACACATAATATGTACAGGACAGCTGCAAACGTCTCGTCCGGAAGCAAAGAAAAGATCTATTCATTAGCACTAGCTGATACGGTAGCAAAATCAAATGGGTACCCTATCAAAAAGCGCATACATAAAAAGCGACGACAAGATGGTACCGAAAAAGCACAAGCCGAAACTAAGATTCCATTTTGCTTGCCATTTGTGTCAGAAGAATTGAGTATGGTAGTCAGAAAGTTATTACAGCGAGCGGAGCTGGAAGACTGGGTAAGAGTCGTCGACATACCGCCTGCTAATGTCAAGCATCAACTTGTTCGCAATCGCGCGCATGACAGGCTATGCGCGACCCCCAGCTGTAGGATTTGCCCGTTTGGCAAACAAGGTGATTGTATGGTTCCTGGTGTGGTGTACCGTATTAATGCCAATCATGCAAAGATTCGTATATAGGTGAAACCGGACGCCCATTGTGCACAAGCATAAAAGAACACTTAGATGGGCTTAGAAGATCAAATCCCACCACGCCGTTGGGCATGCACCGCAGACAGCGTCACGAGGACGCAAATTTAAGCGTGGAGGTCACAATCTTAGCTTATGAGCCCGAAATCCTTACGCGCAAAACTTCAGAGGCGTTTTGAATGACGGGAAGCCCGAAAATGAATAGAAAAGATGAGTGCTTGGCTTTACACAAGAACTGGCTCCTTACCAGAGCCTCTGTGGCTTCTCCGGTAACAGCAGACCGAGACCAAGTTGCTAGATCTGAAAGAATGGTGGTCAGTCGTTGGGATAATGTATCAGCATTTGAATTGTTGACAGCACAATGACCCGATCTTGTCATTTGTACTCTTTTGATTCGCTAACAGGTTGGACAATTTGCTTGATCGTGACGAAGTTGCTGACTGGGCAGTTTACATGGTCACGACTTTTTCAGTCCCCGAAGAAGGCGATATTGCCGAAACGTCGGTCGAATAAAGAGATATATCAATCTTGTGCAAGTTGAACAAATCAGTGAAAGGAGATTGTATAGTTTCTCGCACTTTGAGTTCTAGAGCTTGCAAACAAGGAGAGTGGACCGTTTCTAGCACGGAGATGAGATTTTACAAAACAAAGCTAATTTGTACAAGATTCAAAAAACCATCAAAAAATATTGCAAGCCAAACATCATTTCACGGCCAGAGCACGGCACAGGTGACTTCTAAGGAAGCTGGATATTGTTTCTGGGACAAAAAGCAGAGGGGATATCGTTGTTGTGGCCGAAAAAACACAACTTAGATTACTTTTTTGTCGACGTTCGTTTTCTTGAGGGTTTTTTCACGTTTAGGTTCAGGTTCAAAGAGGACTTCGTAAAATTTCCAGAAAATCAAGGGGGACTTCGTTTGTTGCCTTTTCGGAAAGCCACCTTGTGTCTTCTATACGCTCAAATAGACCAATTCCAACACTTTTGTGGCCCATGTTCAGCGCTCATTGACCACCACGGTCAATGAGGGTCTACTTGCGAAATTAATGCCAAAAGGAATATTTGCAGGCTGTATTGCAGAGATTGTAGCTAAATACTTTTAGTAAAGACTAGCTGGCAAACCCGGCTCCGCCCGGCCCTGTCATTATTATATTCGTAATCAGCATGCTCGATTACCCCCCTGTGCCAACTCCCAGCCCCGTAGCTCAAATTTTGCAAAAAATCGATAAAATCGATCGATAACGAAAAGTAGCCTATGACACACTCCCTGCCCCGAAGTATATGTGTGCCAAGTTTGGTCCCGATCGGTTCAGAAATAAAAATTTCTATTCCGCACATACGTACAGACATACATACATACATACATACAGACATTCAGCTTTATATATAAGATTTTTGGCAAAAAAATTTTCTAATGGTGTTCGAAGTTTAAGTTTCCCTGTCCCATTCCACATAAGCGGAGTTTGCATAAACCAGGTGCTATTTCTTGATTTTTGGTGGTAATAAGAGCCTGTGTTTTACACGAATTATGCTTCTGAAAAATGAAGTGATCACCCTGATTTCATAGCCATTATTGCTGTAAATGTCATTCGGTTCATGCCGATTCACAAATTCTGGTTTTTCAGTTATTACTACGATCTCCTACGCATTTCTTCGAAGCTAAAGACAACCAAAAGACAATTGCATATTCCTATGTTGTATGTTTTCTGTACAATAAATTTGTATTGATACCGGATTTTAGAACCACGAGTAATCTAACCTTTGATTCAACTAGCGGCAGCTGGAAGGCGGGGCTTTGTGACCTGACTGAGGCCGCTCGCGCCCGATACGCAGTCTGCGTCTCCATCGCGCGCGTGCTCTCTGATCACAATTTAGACTTGACAGGCCACAAAGCTCCGCCTTCCAGCCGCCAAGCCAAGTGAATTGAAGGGTAAGTCGAACGAAAGCAAAGAAATGAGCAGAAATCAAAATCGGACCGGATTCGAAGTTTCAAGTATTCCAAAATTTATCTGTCAGAACAAACTTTAAAATAACCACGTTTTGCTTCCAAAGAATTCTGCTGTAATTGTATCATAAAACATATTTATGTTATGAAACAGTGCTTCTTATTAAACAAATCTTCTTGAATATAAACATCAAATCTTATGACAAAATGACCATAAGTGATATGAAACACAATAAATATAGATAAATTGCAAAAATCACAGTACAAACCTAACGGCCTAGTTTATCACATGCTCGACTTCTTCTTTATCGTTTCGGCTAGTAACTTCACTACCTTCTCAATCTTCTGTTTGTCGGAATTTCCGCCAAATGTGCCAACTCGCCAAAGTTTCCCTACTGTAGGTCCCAAACCACCAGCGATCTGTAACTTTTGGTCAAAGTCAAATCAAAAAAAGCTTATATTAGTTTGTCCCTTTCTTGAATAGATCAAACTGCTTGTTTTCCTAACCGTTGATAAGGCAGAGCAAGCTCTACAAAATGGCCTTTGAAGATCTCCTTAAGTCGTAAAACAGGTAAAGTAAGCAGCCAAAATCAATAGCAATTTCATACCCAAATTTCGATTTTTGCAAAAAAAAAGTTCTACGAGGCTTCAAATTGATCGTCACACAGGAGACACATAGAAGTACTCATAAATGCATCTATTATAAATTTTTCACACCCCCGTAAGTTCTTTATTTTTGGCCTTCAGACTTTGCCTGGATTACGGCTTAGGGGGATCTTCGGAGACCATTTTGTAGAGCTAGTTTTGCTCTATCGAGCAGTGTCCTAAGTCTGCTAGAAAAACAGGGTAGTTTTGATTCACTCAAAAAAATTTAATTCTGGGACAGTCTAATTCAATATCTGAAAATTTGAATTGAAAGTCATAGTGCAATGAATTCTTCGCTCAGAGATATTATGATTTCAAATCTTCCAAGACCACAAGAAAAGTTCGTTTCTGGAATGATGGACCCAAACAAAAATGTAGGGCACAATAGGATAATTTTGTTCAAGAACCGCAATAGAATGAAAATTCTGTGAAACTCTTTGGCCTAGAACAAGAAAAATTATTTCAAACAAGCATACCTCAGTGCCTTTCTGCATCATTTCGCTCATTACACCCTTCCAGTCAACACCATCAGGCACTCTGACCGTTGTCAAACACGGTAGTCGCCACCTCTGAACACAAAATTACACATACAACAAAATCAAGCAGTCAATGAAGGTTTCCCAAAGTAGCAATGAGATAATAGAGCTTTTCTTGAATGTGTTTTACAGTTGCAATAGCACATTCTTTTGGAAGGAAAGTACTCCAACCGAAAATTGCCGGTAAAAAGGATGAATACAGTTTTTTTAATACTTGTATTTTTGTGAATATTTTGAGACATCTCGTGACTTAATATGATGATGGTTGAGTAATCATGGATCTGCCTTTTGGAAACGCGTGCTTCAAGTCTGCTTTTCCAACATCTTTTTCTCAAATTTTTTTGCACTAAAGTAGGAATATAGTGGAGTCTCCTTGAGCATGCACGCAGAAAGGTCTACTGAATCTAATGTAAGATTTTACATGTAATGTGTGATGTCTATAGGTGACATCAGGGAAAATTATCACAAAATACATGATGACTCAATAAGGTTGTGATTGAAGCGTTACCCATATATCAACAAAGAAATATTGAATGCGTACCTCTTCTTGCACAAAGCAATCTAGCCCATACTCTTTCAACTTTTCGTACAGAAACTTCGCATTTTCTGCATGACGACGCACTCCTTCATCGACGCCTTCCTTCGCTATGACAGCCAAAGCTGTTCGAAGGGCATAAACGCACGATATAGGAGCTGTGTGGTGATATCTGGAAATTTTCGTCTTCAAGTCATTGGCTAGTAAAGGCTAACGTGATTTTTACCTGACCAACTCGCCATCACAGCCCCAATAGTTTCCTAGTTCAAGCGCATCAAAATAAAACGATGGTACTCGCTCTTTTCTATTTTTGATCTTTTGCCTAAAGTTTTTACTTTTTGAACTTGAAACTCTCTCTATTTTCAATTTCTTACATAGCTTTTTCACTGAAGGAGATGGGCGCCAATCCAGGAGGTGCATTCAAAACTTTTTGGGTGGCCGAATAAACACAGTCTACGCCCCAATCATCCATGCAAAATTCTGCCCCACCTAGGGATGCGACCTGAAAACGTGCTTTAACACAAATATGTCAAATAGAAATCATTAGTCAAGTACTTACCGTGTCTACCAGCAAAAGGGTTCCATGTCGGCGACATGCCTCACCAAGACCATCGAGTGGTTGGCGTACTCCAGTCGAACTTTCACCGTGGCAAACGAATAAGACTGCTGGCTTGTATTTGGCAAGAGCCTGAATGAACCAATAATTATCCAAAAAGTCAGATAACAGGATTAACGATAACCCAGTGCAAATACTTTTCAACGCCCTTGTTTTTTGACTACATAGTTAAAAAACAAGGGCGTTGAAAAGTATTTGCACTGGCTCAAGCTCTCCATTGACTCATTTATTCCATTCACTCATTCAAACATTCTTAAGTTACTCACTCATTCGTTCATTTCTCGTTCATCCATTCTATTCAATCACTCTCATTCAACTTTAATTTAATTATTCATTCGTCATTCATTCATTTTCATGCCTTCATTCATTCATCTAACCATTCACTCCAGTTCACTCATTCACTTCGATATTCAGTCATTTCATTCATTCCATTCATTCACTACAGTTTACGCGTTTAGTCATTCAAGCGATATCCACTGTTCTTTCCTTCTATCTTACATTGTACAGTGACTCTTCATTCATTTATTCTTCCATTCATTTATTTACTCATTCATTCAATTGACCACTTCATTCGTAATTCATTCACCTCATTCATTTCACTTCTATGCAATTCAGTCCATTCACTCTACGCGACTCAAAACTACTAAAAAATCCTACTTTATTGACTACTCGTCCCTTTTGTTTTAATTTTACTCGCACTTTATTTCGCCTTCACTTGCCCCTAAGTCTATTCACAAAGATTACTCCCTTTATTTTATTCTTCCTTTCTATCATTTAGACTTATCTCGAGAACTCTCACATGGAAGTGGCACTCTCATATAAACGTCGCTTGCGATAAGTTCACACCTGCTCGATTGCCTCCGTCTCAACTGCACATCCATGGGGTGCAGTTACGGTTTCTACTTTGGCTCCTATCCTAGCACCCAAATCAGCAGCCCTCTTTCCCCAGATACCAATTTCTACGACCAGAAATACATCGCCTTTCTCCAGGAGATTCAGTACAGCACATTCCATACCAGCGTGACCTGAGAGATAGTTTTCATTTACAGAAACATAACAACTCACCGCCTTACCTGTTCCACTGACGGCGAATGTATAAGCATTTCTGGTTTTAAAAATGTACTGCAGGCCTTCGCGGGCATCTGACATCACCTAAGTTATTTTTTCTACAATATTTAGCACCACGAGCACGTTGGAAAATCTTAATTTGAAATTAGGAAATTACGGGTTCTTGTATGAAATTGAAGCAGTTGAAAATGACTTGCATGCTGTCAGAAACTTCGCCCTTACCTTGAGAAACTCCGGATGTAGATGGCCAAGTAAAGACCGCGATTGTGACTCAGCAATCTCATCGCGCATATTTGATGGTCCTGGCCCAAACAGCTGTCGAGGTGGAATCTCCATCTCCTTCAGCAGACATGCCGGTGGAGGATAACTCGACATGAATGCCGCCTAAATTCTAGAATACCTAACAAAGTCTAAGTACTAAGGTTTAAAGTACTAACAAAACGAAAAAAAAAAGTTGTCGAAAGAATAAATTCTTTGAATGCAAATAGATGAAAATTAGGCATAGCCCAAAAAATTTTGCAAATAAAGTGAAACATTGCAAATAATCTAGGCAAATATAAGGCATACGAATTTTCATTTCTAATCATTTATTCGATCTTAAACGATTGAACATACGGAAAAACATCAAAAAAGTTTTGAAAGCAGATTTGTAGCGAATTTCTGTCAAAAGCAGTTTTGTTTCATGAAAAAGACGAGAATGCTCACGATTGTAAAGCTTCCTTATTTCTAACTAACTAGAAAAGATTAAGGTGCATAAAAATTCAGTATTGATTAGAAAAAAGTGTAGCGAGGAATAGAATCCAGGGATTATACTTTTTTGAACGTATGTGAGAGAATTTTCATCAAGTCGCAAGCAATTTTCAACTTTCATTGTAAAAAAAACACATTGTGCAAGGGTGAATAGCGAAGCGGTGCTCCATGAACAGGAATGAGGCAAACTGCAGGAAATATAGCCAAATTGAGAGATGAGCAATCTTCTGTAATGTATTGATTAGTTTCACAAGGCGATTTATGATCGACAAACCCATATGGAGGATTTGGTATATTGGTGGAGAGGTTTTTTTTCATTGTGCGTTTGACGGATAAGTTCAAACAGTACCTGCCAGAGTTCCACAGAACTATTCTTATTTCAGTTCTCAAAACGCTTCATAAACACATCATTCTCTTTTTTGATGAGATAACATAAAAATGCCTTTACTTGAGATGCAGAAGGACGAATAACATACTAGACTAATAAATAAATTCGTTTTTGACTTGCAAGTTTGAAACGCTATAACAATCATGGTTGCTATAGCTATGCTTTTTGCTAAGAGGTGGATTCAGACTTGCTGTCACAAAACTATAAGTCAAAACTATTCATCTTCAAAAGGGCGACTTTGCCATAAAATCCTCCAAGGAATCTCATTACATTTTTTTGAAATTTCGTTCTCGAGCTGTAATAAGTAAACAGATGAATGATTTGGTGATTGGTTGCAAACAGCTTTTGGCTAAGGGCAAGTCATAATGAAGATTGTGATATGAAGTCTAGCAATTTTTGCAGAAAGAATGTGGGAATTTCTGAAGATATTTGCGTGTCGGAGCTAGTTGTTGGGTATTCCCGATCGTTTAGATTTGACTAACTATGGCCATCCAAATGGTTGGAATTATCAAAATTTGATGTGTGGCCATCAAATGCATACTTTACATCGAATATCACCGCTCCATAATTTTAACATGCTTTTTCGAAAGTTTTGGAAAATTTGGCTACATTATCATGCACTATTCCGTCACAAGAAAGTAGCGTTTGCCTGAACGGGGTTGACCATTTAATTCTCCTTGATTCTCGTTTCCAACGGTACCGTAAATTATATAGATTAATCTCTGACTTTTTATAGGACCCTTTAACAGACCAAAATTATTTTTTGTTTAATTTATTAGAATGTTTTGGAGTTAAAGTGAAAAACTGTCGTGAACAAATTTGAAAGTAAACAACTCCTTTTAGTTGTCCTCGAAATTGACCATTTTGAGTAATATACTCATAGAAATCAACTTCCTAAGCTCGAAAAAGAATATACACATTTTCGATTCAGGAGCGACAATGAAAAGTCAGAACTGTTTTTCTTCATTTTAGCAAGAATAACGGCATGATTGCTCTTCTTCAAGCACCGAAGTATGTAGAAGCCAAAAATTAAAGGACAAGACTCGATAAAATAATAGATATTCTAAGATTTTCAGAGAATGAAAAAACAGAAAAATCTTAAGAGTTTTTAATTGTACTTCGGAACAAATTTAGCTAAATGCATCATTATTTACTTTTTTATTTATTTATTGCACAAAAGGTGCTCCTACGACTAGTCAAAATGTCTACGCAGTAGTCAGAGGGGAAGAATGAAAACCGAAAAACAACACACTAGAATTAACAGGCTCATTGGATGAGAATGTTGCGACATAAACGGAAAAATGTTCCTTTACGTCGCGGAGAATCGATGCTAGGAAAAGAACAAAGATCAAAATCTCATTTATGGTATGAAGACAGATAAAAATGTTGGTCAGGTAAATTTCAGCTGTTAAAAAGTATCTAGGCAGAGATTCTTCAAAGCACTTTTCATTCTCCTTCCCTTTCAGATTTACGTAACAGGGCAATCTATGTTCAAAGAAGTCAGGGAAGGAATCTAGAACTTTGTTCACCTTTGAGGGCAGGGAATTGTCAATTATTATGATAATTCTTACCTCTATACGACATAACGTTTTAGGACTTCGGAGCAATATTGACACGACCCGTCGCGAGATCATCGGCGAAGCAGTGACCACTGCTCGGCCGTAGCCTGGCCACTCAATGCTCTCGCCGTCCACGTCGATCAAATTCCAACATATGCTTGGTTAAACCCGTCATAAAGCGCGATCCGAGGACGTTTTGAACTTTGCGTTGCTATTTTGCAATTTTGACATAAGATCGCAAAGGTCACACTTATATTAGTGCAAGGTTCGGCCCAAGGTAGCTTTCCAAAAATGCAAAAAACCAAATCCCTTTTGATTTTCCCAGAATTTTACAAAGTCCTCTCTGACCCTAAACTATAAACCCTCCAAAAAAAGTCGACTGAAAAAAACGCAACCTAAGGTGTGTTGTTTCGGCCACAAAAGGATTTCCCCTTTCGTTTTTGTCCCAAAAACGATATCCAGCTTGCTTATAAGCCACCTGTGCCGAGCCCTGATATGTGTCAGGGCTCAGCAGAGGTGGGGCCTTCACATGCTGATGTCGTTTTAGAGGGAGAAGCAAAAGGAAAATCGTAAAGTTTTGATGGCGGGAGGGGGAGGGAGGGGAATTCGTGGATTTGACAAGATGTTAGCAAGCACAATTCTTACTCCTCCTAGTAGGTCCGAATTTTGAAACCTAACGCCATTTTACCAGTAACAGGTCAAAAATACGATTAGCGCATAAACTTTTGTGCACACGATTCCTAACGGTTTAAAACATGATCTTTACGCACAGAAGTATAAACAATCAGTTTGCAACAACTAAGCAATACTGAGCCATCAAATTTGGTGTATAGTTTCGTGAGGATGATCAAAAAAAAGTATAAAAAATTATGAATAAGTTATGTGAATAAATTGAGTTGTAAATCTCTCTCCATTTTAGGTTGCTCCCGCGCATGGGAACAAAAAAGGGATTCCCAATGTCATTAAGGCCACAGCAAAGCAGGGGGTTGAAACTTGAGTTAAGGTGAGCGCAGGGTAGCGCGGGAGCAAAGAAAGTCAAATATCCCTTTCCTCACATTATTTTCCAAAAATTTTAACATAAATCTATTTTGTCCAAGCTCTACCTATAGATACTCACCTTAACCCAAGTTTCAACCCCTCTGCTTTGCTATGACCCTTGATGATATTGAAAACCTCTTTTTTTCCGCCTTCTATCTGTTTTATCTCATGATTTTTTGCTCACTTTTGTCCACTCATCGTTCGCCGCAGATTTTAAACCGTACTTCCACAAAAGCCACAAAAGGTCATTCGCA